CCCAGTGGCCTCAGCCCTGCAACCTCCAGATGCCTTTTCCCTGTTCAGCTCACTCTCACCCCTCCTGAGAGGGCTATTTCTCACTTCCTCCTCCTTCCTCAGCCCTTCACCTCCTCCCCACTCTCCAGTCTAAGCTGATGAACTGATTTCTTTTTTCATTCATAAAGTATGAAGCACTCAGGTGAGAACGGCACCATCACCCCCACACATGCACCTGGAACCTCTGTCCTACCCCAGTGATAGTAGAAGGTCCCCTCCTGTCTAAAGTCACCCCTCAGATTGGGACAGGATCAGGCCCCTCTGTCCCCGGGATCATGTTTCCCTCTCACTTGCAGTTCATCCTTTCTCCCACACACATGCTGTCATATCTCCATTCAAAAAAAAAAAAAATACAATTAAACTAATATGAACTCCTCCCATAAATCTACCACAGGAACCCATGTCTTTCTCCTCCACTGCCCCGTGTCAATGACACTCCTCAGGTAGCAGATCCTCAGTGAGTCCATTCTCTCATCTACTGGACTGTAATTTTATTTTTTGCAAATAAACATATGCACATAGGACCTCCCCTGGTGGCACAGGGGTTGAGCGCTGGGCTGTGAAGCTGCCCGCAGCCTCTGCAGTGCCTGTTTGATCCCTGGCTGCTGGCAAGGGTCCCACATGGCATGTAGACCTCGCCTGCCGTGCCCATTGCTCCCCTCAGCAGTGTACTTCGGTCCTTCTGCCTTTTTTTCCCCCCGCTCTGGCTCTGGTGAATTCTCTCACCCTCCCGCGCGCTTCTGACTGTACCCAGTGCTTGTATAAATAAATAAATAAATAAATAAATAAATAAATAAATAAATAACTCTATCTTTAAAAAAAAAATACTGGTGACTTGATCCACAATATCTGATCCATAGTAGATACTCAAAAAAGATGTTAAAAAATAATAAAATAAACATATGCACATAGTTTTAAAAGTCCACACCTCTACAAGACTTGTTAGGAAGACTTGTTAGGTCCCCATCTTCAATGGTCACTACTTCCTTGAATCTCAGTGACAAGCTGTTTTATTTCTTTTAACTGATTCACTAATTGTTACATCTGTGCCTGCAAATCTCATGCTAATTCTTTGGTTTTTTACTTTCATTTCTCATTTTTAGTGATCTGGCTTTTCTTTCACCCAACCTCATCCTCCCAACATAATAATCTTATAATTTTGATTATCTCAGTGTGCATGTCTGCATTCTTTTTTTCAGATCACATTATGATTTAATTTCATCATCAGAAATGGACCATCAGGGCCACCCTGGTGATGCAAGGGGTTGATTACAGCACGTGAAGCTATCTGCAGCCTCTGCAACACAAGTTTGATTCCCGGCCGCCAGAGAGCTACCCACATGGTGCAGCAGACCTCTCCTGTTTCGCCTACTGATCCCCTCAGCAGTGTATTTCAGCAGATCTGCTGTTCTGTTCCCCACTCTGCCTCTGGTGAATGCTCTCACCCCCTACACCTTTGGCCTGTACCCCAGTTCTTGTATGCATAAATAAATAAATCTAAAAAAAAATGCATCATCATTTAAACAAAACTGAGAATACTTCTCAGTCACAAGAGGAGGAAAGCATTTTCAGACCAAGAGAGAGTAAAAAACACTGTCAGCTATTGTTAACAATGAGAAACAGCAAATATTGACTGGAATGTGGCCTCAACTTTGGTGATGAGCCATCACTGTCAACCTTCCCCAGGCGGGTCCAGCACCTGTGCCCAGAGGAGAAGGGCTGCACAGGAGGGAGCAGGAAGGAGGGAGCAGGGACGTGGACAGAGACCAACCTGTCCAGTATGAGGAGCTGTGGCGTCCTGGCCAGGGAGGCTCAGGAAAGCAGGGAGCATCTCCTCAAGCCTGAGAGACACAATCTGGAGACAAAGTAAACCCAGTTTCTGATGACATGGAGCACATATAAGTCACTTCTGTCACAATCCAAAGTACTACATTCCAAGGAAACTAATTGTATGAGGTGAGTTAGACTATTTTTTTTTTTTTAAGGATACATCTTTACTTGAAGGAATAGATAACAAAAAATACTGTTATATACCTCTGGTGAACTTGTACGCACTTTCTAGAAAATGAATGTGTCAGTCCCTTTAAGAAAATTTACTAACAGGAGCCTCTCTGGTGTCCCAAGGGGTTAAGCACAGCACTAGGAAGCAAGCCACAGCCTCTGCAGCAGTTTGATCCTGGCCATCCAAAGAGAAGGCATATGGTGCAGCAGACCTCTCCTGACTTGCGGCTGCTCCCCTCAGCAGTGTATTTCAGTCAGTCTGCCTGTTCTGCTTCCCGCTCTGTCTCTGGTGAATCCCCCCCCTCTCTCTCTCTCTCTCTCTCTCTCTCTCTCTCACACACACAGACAAACACACACACACCGTCCATAATCTAGCCTGTACCCCAGCTCTTGTATGCATAAATAAATAAATCTTTAAAAAAAAAAAAGAAAGAAAATCTACTAACAGCTGGCCACTGAGAGTAATTAATTGTCTTAGTAACATGCAAACTCTGGGGGGAAACCAGATATTGGAAAATTACTATAAAGTTGACAACTTCCACTAACTTTTCTTTTGGAATCTTTGAAACATAAAACAAGTATGATTTTTAAAGTTTGATTCTAGAAAAATTAACACTACTGATCCTACATAACTTAATGAAACAATGCATTATTTTAAAAAATCATCTTATTGAAGATCCTTTAATATATAAGAGAGGCCTATGGAATTAATGTAACAGAATAGAAAATATTCAATGATAGTATTTCAGATTTCACATTGCAAATAACATTTGAATAACTACCATAGGTATAGTTTCAATTTTTATCAAAGTGGTAATGTAACTGGTGGCTGAAGGCAAAGACTGTTACAGGTGTTGCCCCCTGGACAGGGATTGCTGGTGGGGAAGGGTAGCACTAGGGAAAATGGGAACAAAGTATCACATTTGGGGTGGAGGCTCTCATAAGAAATACAAGGGACTGCACACCATCCCCCAGCATTCAGTGCTTGGGATCAGCTTTTTCAGACCTTCAGCGATTCTGGGCCTGGCAGAGAAGGCAAAGACCTGAAGCAGAACTCTCACTACTAAGCTGTCAGGGTCATTCGGCCACTGTTTTGAGTGTCTCTTGTATGGTGCTGCATTGGGACATCTCAGCAGCTCCAGGGAGCATCTCCTGTTGTCTTCATGAGTGGGAACCTGACCTATACAGAGTGTGGCTGCCATGCTCCAGGTCCACAGTGGCAGGAAGACACCACCTTTGGAGTGTTTGTGTTTAGGCCTTTAAAACACTGGACACTGCTTCGGGTGAGATAAATGGCCATTTTGACCTCAGAAATTCTTTGTTTTTCCCTGGTTTGTTAAATAAGTCCATTCATTGTTGTTCTCTGAATCTGAGTAGTCTTGCGATTGTGTGCACAGATGATGAACTCAGTGACTGATAAACTATTTGGGCAGTGTCTTTGGCCGCTTTTAGTGCCCCTTGCTGCCCTGTGTCAGTAACAAAGTTGAATGCTAACAATTATGTGTTATTAAAGTGCTTTAAAGGTTATTAAAGTGCTATTCCTACATATTTCTGTGGGGCCAAATGCAGAAGAAAATATGACAATCCAATGTTCTTCTCATGAGACAGAGAAGACACTTGCAAAAATATAAAATGTAAAATTTTACACTTTTCTCATTAACCTGGTTATTTTCAGACATAGCTATTTTTCCTTAAAACACTTTAACTTGCAGTGGGTTAGATGTAAGGAGCCGGGAGGGTGAGAGAATTCACCAGAGCCAGAGCAGGGAGCAGAGCAGGCAGAAGGACCAAAGTACACTGCTGAGGGGAGCAGCGGGCGGCAGGAGAGGTCTGCGCGCCATGTGGGACCCTCCCTGGTGGCCAGCTGGGGATCGAATCGGCACTGCAGAGGCTGCAGGCAGCTTCACAGCCCAGGGTGCAACTGCTGTGCCAACAGGGGAGGCCCAATATAAAAACTCTTTAAAATGTTTTTGTTTCTTGTGTGGTAAATATTGATAGCTACAATATAACCTTATAAACTTATACTGGGGTCCTCGCTAATTTGTAGGGCTACAGAGGTCCAGAAGCGAAAATGTTTGAGAATTGGTTATTCATTCCCTGGGCCTGGCCTCGGGGAGCAGGTGTGAGAAGGCTGAAGCAGGAGAGGAGGGGGCAGGCAGAGCCTGGTGGCGTGGCTCTCAGGGTCTCCGTGCCAAGGGCTGTCTGGGAACAGAAAGTTACAGTTGGGGGTTCCCCATCTTCCTCTCACAACCTGTGTCGGGTTCTCCTTCCGGACACTGGAGATTCAAGCCCAGGTCTCACTCCCCATGGCCAGAGGGTTTCCAGAGCAGCCCGATCCAGGTCTCCAGGCTCCCACCAACCCGCCTAGATGCAGAGTCTCTCCAGCCCCTCATGATGCAGATCGCGAAGCCCCCACTCCTCTTGCTGCTGCTCCTGGGGACCCTTATCCTGAAAGACAACTGGGCCGGTGAGTGAGGCGCTGGAAGGAAACCATAGCTCTGGAGGGAGGGCAAGGCGATCCGGACCAGACACAGGACTCAGGGAAAGGTGCAATTAGCCGCCATTAACCCTATTGAGCTCCCTGGGCCCTGTGGAACCAAGCGTAAGTATTCTTAGCCATCGCTTTGTCATTTTGTGTGTAACTGCCATTTTAGAATTTTAGGTTTTGCTGTCCCAAGAAAGACTGCATTCCAGAGATAGTTTCGACAGTTTCCACCCTCACTCCACCCTCGCCCTCCGGTCACCAATGAGGGCGAACTTGCTGTAATTGGAGCTGCAGGCTGGAGCTGCATCTCGGACAGGCCAGTCAGCTTAGAATGATAGCCCGGCAAAGTTGGAGAACGCATCCTTGTAGCCAATGAGTAACTGCCAGCATAATTTAACCTTATTAAAACCCCCTGCTTCCTTTGTTCGGAGCTCTCGATACCTGCTGCTACATTGGTAGGTGCCGTGAGCCCGGACTCAAGTCTGTAATAAACTCCCTTTTGTGTTTGCATCGGCTGTCTTTGGGTTCTTGGAGGCTATGCTCGCTGAGTCTGCTGACCTTGGGCACAACAGGCCCCTCCCTGTCCTCCCAGCCCCCACCTCATGCCCCCTGAGTCTTGGCCCTTCTCCTCCCGGCACCCCTTAACTCTCTCAGGAGCCCCCTCATCCCTGTCCCCTTCCGCCCTGTCTCCCAGAGACCCGCAGGAGGAGGGTCAGCCCGGGTCTCCCCTCCAGCCCCCAGGCTCCCACTCCCTGAGGTATTTCTCCACCGTGATGTCCCGGCCCAGGCCCGGGGAGCCCGGCTTCATCGCCGTGGGCTCCGTGGATGACACACAGTTTGTGTGGTTTGACAGTGACTCTCCGGGTCCGAGGATGGAGACGCGGCTGCCCTGGATGGAGCAGGAGGGGCTGGAGCACTGGGAGGGGGAGACGCAGAGAGCAAAGGGCAAAGCACAGACATTCCAAGAGAACCTTCTCGACCTGCACGGCCGCTACAACGGGGAGAGGCCGGTGAGGTCCAGGACGCGGAAATGACCCCCACCCCCATGGAGGGGCGGGTAACCCCAGACTCTGGGCCGTTCCTTGTGTCCCACTGAGGCAGATGGACCCGCCCAGACCCTTGACCCGGTAAGAGCCCGCGGGACTTTCTTCCCTGTGGTTTCAGTTTCGGTTTAGGGTTATGGGGGGGGGGTGGAGAGGCAGGCGTGGGCGGGGTGACTCAGGGTGACGTGGGTGGTGACAGGCTCTCACACCCTCCAGGAGATGTCTGGCTGTGACGTGGGGCCTGACGGGCGCCTCCTCCACGGATACAGTCAGTCCGCCCATGATGGCACCGATTACTTGGCCCTGAACGGGGACCTGTGCTCCTGGACCGCTGCGGACACCGCCACTCAGATCTCCCCGCGCAATTGGGAGGTGGGTGAAGAGGCAGAGTGCTGGAGGCACTACTGGAGGAAACGTCCTTGTAGTGTCCTGGAGACACTGTGCAGATACCTGGAAAACGGGAAGGAGACGCTGCAGCGCTCAGGTAAGAGGGACCTCAAGGTCTCTTACCTTTCCTCTGGCTGGCACCCGTGGGTAGGGTCAAAAAACTAAGCTTTTTCGGTCGGAGAGGGAGGAGTCCCCCTGGGTTCCATGTTCTATACTAGAGAAAATCACCCAGAGGACCCTACTTTTTCAGGACAGTTAAGGAATCCAGATTCTCCTGACATGGTGGTGGTGTAGAAATAAATTCTAGCCTTTTACCCAGGCAGAGGAAGAACAAGCAGTACTTCAGGAATGGTGAGGTTGGGAGAAGCTTTATTACTCATGCATGAGGTCCCAGACCTGGGGAACCCCATAAGGTCTGAGCACCGATTTAAAGACCAAGGGTTCCTTTTATACACAACTATCTCCATGTCTGTTATATTGATAACATCATGTTTCAGCAGCCACAACCATTTGCGGCAAAGTCCCCAGACAAGAGGGACAAGCAAGGGGGAAAAGACACAGGCATTCGGGGATGGCCTTGGAGAGACAGACCAGCTGGTTGGCTGCCCAACCTTGTAGATAAGAGTGCTGAGGCCCTGGCCATGAATCTTGAAAGGGAAGGAGCTGTAAGTCAGCCAACTTTTTGATTATGCCTGCATTGGAATGTTCATTGCACCTGGGCTGGAAGTTCTGCTAGAATCTTTATTATATTCATTTGCTCAATAATATATTTTCTCATCATTCCCCCCTTTGATGCCCTTGTGAGTTAAATTTCACACAGGGCATCACCTATATACCTTTTTTTTTTTTAAAGAGAACCCTAATTATTACCCAGCACCATTATGAGGTGAGAGTCACCAGAATCCCGGGGAGGAGCAATCTTACATGGTTGGCTGCTTCAGGGCCTCTTCCCTGCCATACAAATACCTCCTTGGGCAGTGATGAGCAGGCCCACTATTCTTTGCCAGACCTGGGGCACTACAGATGCTGACTCAGTTGGCATTGGAGGGCTAGGGCTGATCTAATGAGAGCATAAAAATTTGACTTGGGGCCTCCCTGGTGGCACAGGCAGTTGAGCGCCGCACTGTGAAGCTGTCCGCAGCCTCTGCAGTGCAGGTTCGATCCCGGCTGGCTGGCAAGAATCCCATGTGGTGAAGCAGACCTCTCCTGTCTGTCCCTCTGCTCCCCTCAGCAGTATATTTTATCAGTCTGCCTGTTCTGTTCCCTGCTCTGTCTCTGGTGAATCCTCTCACCCTCCCGTGTATCTGGACTATACCCTGGTTCTTGTATAAATAAATAAATCTTTAAAAAAAAAAAATAAAAAATAAAATTTGACTTGAGTCAGCCACCGGCCTTTATGATGGATTTGAGGCTCTCTCACCTCAGCTGCTCTGGCTGTAGTCAGCAGGCCCACTACCAGTGGGATGCTCAGGGACACTCTCTAAATCCCATGAGGGGATTTTAACATTGAAAGTGTATCTCTTTTAGTTAAACAAGTTAGGCATCACATTTACAACAAAGCACCATTGTTTGTGTGGAGTAGCACATTGATACACTCTCTGAGCACAGGCCAGGTAAGGGCCATTTGTAGCACAGATCTTAGAAGTGTGAGTCAAAGGGTTTGTAGCATTTCTTACAGAGACACAGGACCTAGGATAGGATTCGAGGAGGAGTTAGTTGATACCTTTGGAGGGAACAAACCTGGGTCAAGCATGACTCCCTCATACTGGTAAGGACCTGTCCCTAAGCAAATCCTGCAATCTGAAGCAGGAGCCTCGTTAGAGTGGTTGAGAGCCATGTGTACAGCACTGATTAGCTGGGACACAGGCATCTATGGGGAGCGACCAGAAGCAGCCCAGGGTGGAGGGAGACCAGAGAGCTCCCTTGTTCTTTGTGGCCCTTCTGTCAGGCTGGGTACAAACCCTGGCTTCATTGCAGTTACTTAGGGTTTGGGAGATAAGTCCTCACATACAGAAGGGAGGGTGAGGGACAGGTGTAGGAGGACACTGGCCAGCAGGCTCATTTTCGCAAACATTTGAAAACAATTACATCCACACACAGTATCAGGTAACCGGAGGCAAGAAGGCCTCCCAATCCCAGTGGTCAGAGGCCACTGCAACTAGGCCAACTGCAAAGACAGTCACTACAGGAACAGTAAAAACAAACAAACGAGGTCACACATGTAAAAGGTCCTCAAGCTTCTGCCATGCATAGTCCAACCAGTTTCCTGAGTGTGGCTGGAGCAGGGCTTAATGTCTAAGGCCGCTTTGGTGGGTTGATCCATTTGTAGCCTCAAGTGAAGGGGATTCTTCAGATCAGTGGCTGCTGTCCATCCACTGGCCAAAGTGTCCTTTTTGTAAGCCTGTTTCACTCCAGAGTGATGCACCCAAGGGGGTGGAACCTGAGACTTTTACAAAGGAAAAAAAAGGGAGGGGATATGGGCAAGGGTCTGCAAAGGGTAGGCGTAAGGGGTTGGCACAGAGACAGGTGAGCGCCAGCTGGCTCTGCTATTTAACTCCCTTCTCCTTGGCCATCATTCCCCCCTTTGAGGCCCTTGTGAGTTTCTCACAGGGCATCACCTATATCAAACAAGGGAGGAATTGCAAGAAATACGAGAAATACAAACTTGTTAACTGCGTCATAATCCCCACTTGTTGCTATGACCTTCGATTTCTGTGGGAGAAAGGGGCGTCGCATCTGTCACATGTGAATGGGGTCGTCGTAGTGGTGGTGGGGTTATTATGGAAGGCCTGTACTTGCTGGTGCCAAAGGCTTTGGAGGTGGTGTAGCAGCAATAAGGTACACAACATACCATAGTCCTAAATGTAATAGGATGGCTTTTCCCTTCCTCAAGATGATGACATTTAGGATACTGCCCTCACTGAAGAGGACCAGAGACTAATATAGTTACTGAGACGTAATTTTCCTCTACCCTCATCCCAATTCTGTAACCAAAATCAGAAAACCAAATCTAATTTTAAATAATGTTACCTATATTTGCATAAACTCACAGGGCAGAATAACCAAGTAGAAGGTTGTTGGCTTTGTTGAAAACTCCACAGCCTGGAGTGAGCTTTCTAATACCCAGTCCATGCAGGCTTCATCAGTCACAATCTCACCACAATTTCAACTGAGATTTCCTCTTCTCAAGGTTCCCAGGGCTTTTTCCACGGTTTTTCCAGTCCTGCCAATGGAGCCAGCTTCCTCACCTTTCATGGAGGGCTGTGGAACCCAGTAAGCAAGGTGACAGGCTCTTCTTGGCACCCTCTTTTCAGCTCAGCTCAAATTTTACTCCCAGAAGAATTTCAATCAAAGCCTTTTAACAAAACATGTTTAATTTTCTAGTTTAAGGAGAAATAAATTAAATTCCCTATTGAGATTATGCAAAGCATAATTATGCATTGTCCTGAGAAATACAAATATTGCCTACACATTTTTGGGATGAGAAAAGAGAAAAGCAAATGTTATAATTTGCTCATAAAAAGATGCAAATTGCCACTGCTAAGACCATAGTCCAGTTTAAAGACAACTTTTCTAGAGATAAACAAAGCAAAACAAAACATTAAAAGCCAATTTATTTTAAAGATTTATTTATTTTTATACAAGAACCGGGGTAGAAGCCAGATGCACAGGAGGGTGAGAGGATTCACCAGAGGCTGAGCGGGGAACAGAACAGGCAGAAGAAATACACTGCTGAGGGGAGCAGCGGGCAAGACAGGAGAGGTCTGCTTCACTATGTGGGATTCTCGCCCGCCGGCCGGCCAGGATCGAACCCACACAGCAGAGGCTGCAGACAGCTTCACAGTGCAGCGCTCAGCCACCTGGGCCACCAGGGAGGCCTAAAGACCAATTTTTTTAAAAGTCATTAATGTTATACAAATTCTCCTCAGTGTACTTTTCCTGTGTATTAAGTCTCAATCTTCTGTTGTAATTTTTATAAATCCAATTTTTTTTAAGATTTATTTTATTTTTATACAAGAACCAGACTACAGGCCAGATGCATGGGATGGTAAGAGGATTCACCGGAGACAGAGTGGGAACAGAACAGGCAGACTGACGAAATACACTGCTGAGGGGAGCAGCAGGTGAGACAGGAGAGGTGTGCATCGCCACATGGGATTCAGCTTCACAGTGTTGCACTCAACTGCCTGCACCACCAGGAAGGCCCAAATCCAATTTTTTAACTTTAGTAGGTTATCTCAGTTCTAACACAATATCTATACTGTCAGACTCTTTTTGTAAATTTCCTGAAGACAAAGCTCAGCAAGTAAACTTTAGAAATAACAAAAACTTGAAAATGACCATATCTAAAATTATGGTTTAAGGGCAAAACACAAGGATGTTTAGTCAGTTTTGTGACATGCACACACACATATATTTCAGAATAATCAGAATTGTCCAATAATATTATACCAGAACATACTAGGTTTAAACATCTCATACATTTTAAAACACTTTAACCAATTTTTATATATGCTGAAGAGATATAACTTTTCCCCTCAATTACAGTGCTTTTTGTTGTTGTTTTTTATTTTTATATTCCCCATAAAATTGCAACCCCTATTTTTACCCCAATCCCCCCCCCGCCCAAAGAGTGTCTCTGGTTCATAGTTGTTTGTTGATCTTGATTTTTTTCTTTCTTATAGTTATTCTTTTTCCTGGTCCATATTTAGGTTTTCTAGATTCCTGTTATGAGTGAGACCATGTGGTATTTTTCTTTTTCTTTCTGGCTTATTTCGCTGAGGCATGATCCCTTCCAGCTCCATCCATGTTGCTGCAAATTGTATGTGCTTATCTTTTTTTGATTGCTGAGTAATATTCCATTGTGTATATGTACCACCTCTTCTTGATCCAGTCATCTAGTTTCGAGCATTTGGGTTGTTTGCATAGCTTAGCTATTGTAAATAGCGCTGCTATAAACATAGGGGTGCAGGTGCTTTTTTGGAATTAATGTTTCTGTGTCCTTTGGGTAAATACCTAGGAGTGGAATTGCTGGATCATATGGAAGCTCTATGTTTAGTAGGTCCAGAAATCTCCACACAGCTCTCCATAGTGGTTGGACCAGTTTGCACTCCCACCAGCAGTGCAGGAGAGTTCCTTTCTCTTCACATCCTCGCCAACATTTGTTGTTGCTAGTGTTTATAATATGTACCATTCTCACTGGTGTGAGATGGTATCTCATGGTAGTTTTGATTTGCATTTCCCTGATTACAAGTAATGTTGAACATTTTTTCATATGCCTGGTGGCAATTTGTATTTTCTCTTTGGAGAAGTTTCTTTTAGCTCTTCTGCCCATTTTTTGACTAGATTATTCTCTTTGTTTTTGTTGAGTCTCATCAGCTCTTTGTAGATTTTTGTGATCAGTCCTTTATCGTTAGTGTTGGATACAAAATGTTCTCCCAGTTGATGGGGTTCTCTTTGTTTCTTTTTGCTGTGGCAGACTCTTTAATTTGATGTAGTCCCAGCTGTTTATCTTTGCTTCACTATCACTGCTTTGGGTGATGCGTTCTGTGAAGATATCTTTGAGGTGCATGTCATGTGTGTTTTGCCTATATTCCTTCTATATATTTTATGGTTCAGGTCTCATGTCTAGTTCTTCAATCCATTTGAGTTGGTTTTTGTGCATGGTGTGAGGTAGGGTCAAGCTTCATTCTTTTGCATGTAGCGACCCAGTTTTCCCAGCACCATTTATTGAACAAACTTTCTTTGCTCCAGTGCATATTCTTTGCTCTTTTGTCAAAGATTAGTTGACCATAGATTTGTGGATTTATTTCTGGATTTTCTGTTTCGGTTCCATTGTCCATGTGTCTGTTCTGGTTCCAATACCATGCGGTTTTGATTATTATGGCTTTGTAGTATAGTTTGAAATCTGGGAGCGTGATGCCTCCATTCCCTTTTTTTTTTTTCAGGAGGGTTTGGCTATTTGGGGTTTTGGGTGGCTCCATATGAATTTCATCAATAATTGTTCTATTTCTTTGAAGAATAACATTGAAATTTTAATTGGAATAGCATTCAATCTGTAAATTGCTTTTGGTAGAATGGCCATTTTGATAATGTTAATTCTTCCGATCCATGAACAGGGGATGTCTTTCCATTTCTTTGTGTCTTCTTCTATTTCTTTTAACAATTTATAGTTTTCTTTGTATAGGTCCTTTACTTTTTTTGTTAGGTTTATTCCCAAGTATTTGATTTTTTTTTTTTTGTTTCAATAATAAAAGGAACAGTTTTCTTGATTTCTTTCTTCTTCAGATTTATTGCTTGTGTATGGGAAGGCT